TCACCACTTTGGTTTGGGCAAGGAAAACAGCACTTGTCGGCAAACGATGGTTCGGCATATACAATACATGGCCTCACCAATGCAACTTCTGGTGCTGGACACATTCTTCAATGGAAGTACTTGCTGCACAACAGAAGACTCGCTTTCTAATTGCTTCTTTATGGATTCATCAACGGCAACCCACATGAGCTATGGTTCTGAGACAACAGTTGTCTAACATCTGAAGACGTCCCAATTCGGCTGCTTGAACGGGCCGAGGCCCGCGCCAATTCTCACAAAAAACAGCCCGTACTGAAGCCTGCTACACACGTCCCTTAGGATTCAGGGATATATCGCTTTGCCGCCATAGGTGTCTTAGACCAGCAAGCGTGACCCGAGCGTTGCAGATTCGGTCACTGACCTCATCTGTCACACTATAATCAGAACTAAGAGAACTTCCAAGATACGTGAAACACTCCACAATTTCGAGTGCCTCGTCCTGATTGTAAGTGCTCTGTTCAGCGACTACACGTCCAGGCGCACGGCCTTACACTTTGCGGGTTCAAAGTACAGACAGAACAACTTTGGTCAGCTCATTCAAAAAATGTGCGCCTTCTCTTTCTCTAAGACGAGAACGATGTCGTCTGCGTATTCCATATCGACAAGATTTTCGTCAGAGACTATATGAACACCTGGACTGTGAAAACCCTCCAGTGTTCATCTCATTATATCATCGATCGCGAGTTTAAATATGAATGGAAATAGCGGGTACCTCTGACGAATTAACTTTGTGTACGGAAGCTTTTGGGAAGCTTTGCTCACACGTCTGGAAGTCTGAGAATACAAATAACGTACCATACTCACTACGAGCCCTTTTTTTTGAAAATGGGCTCTATCATCGACTTCCCGCAGTTGTCTGGGACAGTCTCCTTTTCCTAAATGAGGCAAACAGAACAGACGAGCTCTGGTTGAGAACTTCATCCTAGTCTTTGAACAGTGCGGGTGGGAAGTCATCAGGACCAAAAGCACGGTGGCGCGGGACCACAGGGGTTCCATGTTCACCATCCAGAGTTCTATATCAGCCGTAGGCTCCAGAGGACTGGCAGTTTGTGGTCACGGCAACTGGTTTTCGAAGTATTCTACCCGACGGTCTATCCAGGGTGTTCGCTTCATTCTGACCCTTGATGATTTCAGGGACCGGTCTTACGCATTGGCTGAAGTGAACTTTGGGCATTTTCGGTTTTCTGGGCCTCTTCCATTTCCTTAGCTTCCCGTGTCCACCAGAATTCACAGTCATCGCACACGCTCACTTTCACTTGACGTCTGATAATTCACCGGGACAAGTAATGTCCGGGATCAGGTAGGATATTTCTTCGAGATTTAAGCAGTGCCACGATTTGGTCTGATATATAGTTCTTGAGTAGGCCTGGTAGCGCCGTGTCCAGCACTGTGCAAACAGGTGGTGATTTCCTCCCAGTATGAATTCACGTTTAATGGTGGAGCAGTTGGAATGGACTCTAGGAGGCGGTCGTGATTAATTCGTCTATCATGCCGATCCGCCAAGTGATTTGTCTGCCCCTTATGCGGCCCAAAAATGAAAGGAGAAGTGACTCCAGACGTGCGCCTGCTCGGAATTTACAGATGTGCTTCAAAACGAGCTGCTCTCGGTTATTGGTCCGCGCCATCGGTACCTGATGGCAATGTGATCAATCTGCGTTCGTGACCGGCACGCTGTTGGAGAACACCATGTGACCAGACGACTTCGGCTATTTCGGAAGGTAGTACTGCATAAGCACAGCCTGCGGTCACCACACGTCTGAAAAAAATCGTTCACCATTGTCCGTACGTGCTGGGTCCAATCCATGTCGATCACCTAATTGATTCTCAGACGCGCAAAGCCTGCCCACGTGTGTATTCAGATCTCCGGCGACTATTACGATATCTGAGGTTTTGTCTCGCCGCAGCAGGGCATTCAGAACATCATTAAACTTGTCTTTGGCGTCAGAGCTACAGTCAGTATACACGACAAGCAGACATCGGGAAATTTCGCGCTTGCGAGACTCCTTCACGGACGTTGCTAGAGAAAACGCACACTGGTGACTATCAACGTGTATAGACTCAAACAAGGATCCTTTTGCCTGGTAACGTAAGACAATTCCAACCCATGCGCATCCTGCCGCTGCAGCCTCTGGACCGCGAGGGGTGGGCAACCGGAAGCGAGTAGAGAGTGGTGGGTCGGTTAGCTCACCCACAGTGTTTGCCTCTTGAATTCGTGTTTCTGCTACACAGCACCCATCATTGTGAAGCGAGTCCATTGTGACAGCAAGATCAGTTTGTTTTTCTGCTTTCTTCGGAATGCGCACATAGAAAAAGGCCAGATGGACCGATTGTCGAGGCTTGAAGATTTATTTAGAGTTGCCTGAGGATTCCAGTGCGCCCCTGTTGATCTCTGTAGGTTGGGTGCTCCGGATGGCCACTACGGCTTACTGGCCCGGATGCGGAACAATGGAGATAGTTTGCTTAATCGGGAAATTCTGCAAAACAACCACTAACACTGTAGTATTGTGTGGTTTATTATTTGCTAACGGGTATCTCTTCGAGACATGATTTGGGTGATAAGTTCCAGAGTCTTTGGTATGGTAATTTCGGACAAATTTATTTCTTCGTTACCCTCCAGAGCCGAACAAATAGAAGAAATGAAGAAAAGCGACTTTCTTGAACGAATTATCATGGAAATGGCAGGTGAACATCCGGAGTTGACGCGGATCCTGCTCGAAGAGCGAGACATGTACTTAGCCAAATCAATATGGGCAACAACCGGAATGAATAGTTACCAGCAACCAAAATCAAAAGACGATTGTGTCGATGATAATTCCACAAAGTTATCATCTGATAACATGCGGGATACCGATGTACATCTACGCTCCACTGCCGACGTCGGTGACTCCCAGCCAGCCGACTTTTCAAGTGATCACGAAGAGTCTGTCAACCCTACCAACCGGATATCCGCCACATCCGAGCAAACGCCCGCTTGTTGTTCATTCTGGCCCAGTCCGTCAGTCTTACCTCGCGTTGTTGTAGCAGTCGTTGGTATTGGTCACGTAGCTGGTATAAAGAGATATTGGGCAAACGCCGACAGCATCAACCAGCATCAACTCATGACGTGAGTTTTACAGGTTTTCTTTTCCGCTGTTTAATTTTATTTTAAATTATACGCTGGTGTCTCTGAACAGGACTTACTTAGGGGATTGGTTAAAGAATACTGCTGAGGATAGGTTACCTGTGAGTGTACTTAGGTGTGAACGATCTGTTTACAAATGGTTATACACTGGGAACATATACACTAACATATCCACTAATAATAATAACCTATTTATGTCACCAGTCTTGACCGCTGTACTTATTATTTTCGGTATTTGACGTCGCACTCCAGTTGCTACTGTTGTCTTTCTCTGGTTGACCAAATATCACTCTGCCCAGAGTAAAGATTGGAAGTCTTCCATACGTGCTGCTTTCCAACATGCGGCTCATCAGTTTGACCACCTGGAGTCCATTATGGTGGGTGAAGAACGGGTGGTTTAGTAACGAAAGCCTCATCTGTTTAAATTGGCAACTTGTGGATAATGTTCGGTAACGCGAGATGCGGCATCCTTGTCTAATGAGTGTCTAATGGTGCAGTAATGCTTATTTGGATGGCTTTGTGTTACCCTAGTGGGGAGGGTAAAATAGGTGAGGGATTATAAAGCCTCAGTGAAGCTCTTCGATAGAGAATGAGTGCATTACTAGTTTGTTGGAAGGTGGAGATCATTTGAGTCCAACTACTACAGTGGCGTTTCTGCTTAAGGGGTCGATACATTTCTACTGTCTTTTTTTCAGGCCACGCTTATCCATGCAAATGCTAGATAGATAGCTTGAAACACGCGAAATAACACGTGTCATATGCTTTCGGAGCTTCCTACGAAATTGACTTATCCTCTAGTCCAACGGGAACCTTTTTCCAAAAATATCAAAACTTTTGAGGTTCAAGCTTGCATGAGTAGGCTACCAGGGTTTCGGGGTATTGATTTCGCCAACTAATATGTTAGCATGAGGTCGAAATATAGCAATAAAACGGAAAGGGTCAGAAAGACCACGGCGATTGTCACAAAACAGGTAAAAATAGATTTCGAATGTTGGAGTACATGATGAAACAGACGCACGATTTATATTAAAGAAACGTATGTCTGCGAACTTTTGTGCCCTTCTCAGCTGTATGTGTTGATTGCGTTAAGGTGTTTCGGAAGTATTGTGGTAGCTGTTTAGACAAGTTACTGGATGAGAAGAATATCTCCGCTCCCAACAGACGGTTTGACAGATGCGCCTCCGTGCTCTTCGAATTAATTTTTTTAAACTGTATGTTTCATGTATGTAGCTTATCGATTGCTTTCTTTACTGCTCACTCCACTTCAACCGTATCTTGCCCTCTGCTCTCCTATGCAGTGTCATGGAGCCTCCGTTGTCATGGAAACTTTTCAGGTGGAGCTTGAGGATTCTTCTCCTATCTACCGTTTTGGGAATCGGGTATGGAGCTCTTCGTGGCTCGTACAAACTAGGTTCTGCAGTATGGCAGCTTTTTCGCTGAATTGTAAAACCATGTTCGTCGTGTCTTTTTCCTAGAGGTTGTCTTATTCAGACCTATTTGATCACTATCATCCAACCTCCGTGAGTGCGTTTCAAGCGGTCTCGTGATATCAAACATTTGCTGTTCTTCAGTCTGTCTCAATTTGTACTTTCTGCCTTCATGTACATTCAGGTGCCAGGATGGGAATGTATTTAGGTTTGTCCACTTATTTTCCCACTCAATATTTGAATAAATCGGAAATCAGTTCAATCTTGAAGCTTCCTCACATTCTATTCTTCCCGTTTTCGGACATCACGCGGCTCCGTTCCTATAAAGTACCCACTTGTGGCGACTGACTTGGTAATCCTCAGGCAGTATATATATATATATATATATATATATATCTGTGTTGGTTCGAACC